CATGGGCGTTATTTTGAAACCATGTATATTATTTTAAGGGGGCGTGATTTTCTAATTAACGCTCATGAGCGTTATTACGCGAAAATACGGTATGAATAATTAATCATAATCACTGTGAACTGAAATTTAGTATTCTAGATCGCATTTCATTTCGTTGGAGGACATCATGACGTTGTTCAATCGGACTCTTTTGGCAGTTGTAACAGAATAACGGATGGCTGTACGTATAATGAAGTTTTTAAGAATCTTTATTACAGTATTAATACAATTAAAAAGAATATTTGTATTTTCCTAGTCGACTCTGGACCAAATTCCGAATGGTATAACTATACTGTCGGCTTGATTAAAGGCCAAATTTGGTTCTTTTGCAGTACTTTTACACATTGTAAAAATTATAACATGACAGGAACAATTTTTGTTGCAGGAAGTTCAAACAAAATTAATGACGCTGCAACACCTTTGGTTTATACTTGCTTTAATATTTTGATATCGAGTATCATTACGATTTTTTTCATGTTTTAACTGAATTTGTAGCATTTTAATTACGATTATAATTTAATTAGCATTAATGGATTTTCGTGAAACAATTAACGTAAAACATTTCTTTACTAACATATAATTCACGTGCTTAATTGATATATGCTACGTAGTCATATCGATATATCTCTATTCAACATATGATATTATTATTAATATAACCTAGAGAGTCATAGGCAATATATACATGCATCGTAAGAAAAATCTTGTACAAATCAGCAGATCAGTATGGTTGTACGTACGTACGAATTAAAACTGTACTGGTACACTAATCTTCTGTAATTACAGTCAACTCATTAATATCAACCCATTCGGATTAGACAATTATGTTGATATATGCAAAGGTTGATACCAACGGGATAGTTTTTTCTTAATAAAAGGTTGATGCTAACGCGAGGTTGATATTAACGAGGTTGATATTAACGAGGGTTGACTGTCGCTCCGGATTATCAGTGTGGGGTGAAATGTCACCAGATCAATATCGATATACGTCAACATTATGTAATTTACTAATTATCAACCATCGCTTATAGAATAACGGTTTATTTTTAAAACGTCAATGTTGTAATTTAAAGCCCGACTTATTTTCCAGACATGGTTAAAGACTAATCATAATTAGCCAAGGAATTTGCTAAATATGTCGTCACTGGTTTCCATATATATGTATATAAATATTCTGCAGCTATTTTTCTTTCTTTTCGAAAGAAATAAATACTGTTTTTTTTTCTCTCTTCGAAAAGAAAGTAAAATAAATAAAAATGTCAATCTCGCAAGTCGACACACGAGTGATTTTCAAATCTACAGAAGGTGGTCGGGAAGAATTTTTTGTATACGCAGATCCTGATATGGTAAAAAAAAAAAAAAAAAAAAATTATAATAAAAATCTTTTGTCAATAAATATAAGTGAACTTGTTTTTCTCTGTGTAGGTCCAGAAATGGCGTAAGGATAAAACAATTCCTTTAGTTGATGTCATTCAAAGTAATGCTATAGCTAAATTATTATTCGAGTTCTATCTTAATTATTGATTATTAGGCTGTTGCATAATAATTGTAATCGTATTTTTTTTTTTAGGTTTTGAAGTTTTCGAAGTCTACAATGGTGGTAGAGAAGGTATCGCTGGACGTCCATCAAATCAAAAACTTGAAAATGCATTTGGGACTACCAATGATATGGAAATTATACAACAAATTATTCAACATGGCACAATTCACAGTACTCATAAAGCTCATGAAAGACCGACTTCAAAGGATCAGAAGGGTAAGTTTTTTTCATAACACTTTTTTTTTATTTTTTGTTTTAATGATGGTATTTGAGCTATTATTTCTACTTTAACGTTAATAGGTGTGATCAATGAATCGCGTGGAAGGGGTGCTTCGACTACTAATAATGCGAGTATCCACCAATAATGTAGTTAATAATGGAACTGTCAATAACTAATTAGTTCAAGCAAATGTTATTTATAAATGATTCATTATTATTATGTAATGTAAATTTCATTGATTTAAAAGCAAAAATAAAAAGTCTAAAGATCAAATTATTCCAGTTCAATCATTGAAAATATACATTATATAAAATTCATATCAAAACTGCATGCTTTTTTTTATCATTCATGCTTATATATACACATATATATATATATCTCTCTCTCTTTTTTCTTTTTTTTTTTTTTAACAAAAAAAGATGAGTTGTCTCAAGCACTTCCATACAACCTTTTCTTTAACCGTGCCCAACGTAATCTGCACGCATCTTCAGAGCGTTGCATCATAATATTATTAGATATTTGAACCCATGAAGGGGTCATTGATTCTAGTACTGCATCGATAAGTAATTTATCTTCATCTGAAGTCCAAGGCGACATTTTTGTATCAGGATTATTTGAAGTTAATTTAGTACTAGGAACATGAAGTGAAATATTTAATGAAATATTTGAAGGAAAAAACGTTGGGGATGGAGGAGAAGCTGATGCGCAAGATGAAACAGTTTCCTCTGTAGGAAATTCAGTGGAATTGACCTGATTATGTGGTAATTCTTGGGTTTTAATGGAAGAGGACTCTGAAATGGTTGAAATTCCTTTTTTTCTGGTAAATTGCTTATCCAAAATTTCCTTAAATTTCGAATTTATTTTATTTACGTACGTACGTAAAAAAACAATCACACCATATTTAAACTAGAAAGTGACTTTATGAAAATACCTGTTCTGAATCAACTAGTATGACCTCTTCCTCGTCTGTATCATATTCCATACTATCTGTCTCTAGTATATTTTTAACTAATTTACTTTCTTCAGACGGAATCATAATAAATTCATCATCTGCTTTATAATTAGTGCAAGTTTCATGTGGTTTACATAATGAAAAATAATCGAATGTTTTCGATGGTAACTGTTCTTCGTCAGATATTTCAGAATCAATTATTTCGTGATCTTCGAAACCTTTGAATTTAATCATTATCGTTATTTTGAAAAAAAAACATTAATATAAATTTATTATGATAATTAAATTTTCATTTCACCTGTCGTACTGCTAGTTCTTGTTTGATTATAATCAAAGCTCGTCATGCGTTGAATGATACCATTTCTTTTCGGCATCCAACCTTTTGTTCTTAGAGTATAATCTGTATTATTTGTCTCAGTTATTTCTTTTCTTCTAGTCGTAGTTATCTTATCATCATAATATTCATTATCACCAAGATCCATTTGGCATTCATCGAAGGATTTCACACGATTAAGAACGCCATATCTTCTGTTCAACACGAGATATTGATCATTGTGGTCAACAGATATGGGATGTGTGTGTAAAAGTGTGGGCATAACAGATTTTTCGTTCATTGTTGCGACCATATCTGTTGATACATTTCGATTAGCTAGTTCTACTTCTTCCGTTTTCATGTTATCAGAAACAATATTTTTATTAACACTTATGGTATTTAAAAGTGAATCTTTAAGAGTCATCGTTTCTTCATGAACGTGTTTGAATAAAACATCTATTATTTTAAAAGATCTCAGTGAATTAAATATATGATCATTTTATAATATAAGAGTAAATTTATCAGACTACTCCATTTAAACAGTCTCTTAAAAGATACAATTTTTTGTTTCGTAATTTTTAAGTAATATATCACACTTTATGACGTCTTATAGTTTGATACATAAAAAAAATTTCATTTCATCACATTTTGATGAATAATAAATGAATAATAACAACCTACACAGAAATCATTGATGATAATATTAACCTTTTAAATCTTATGCGTAGTTTTGAGTGGCTTAAATTTCTAATATAATTAACTTTTAAATCTACTAAATAATGTCACTTATCCATAACTATATACAAAGGTAATAAAATTCTCGAAAAAACCGGATGTTCTTTTATACATTGTTTATGTTCTAATTATATTGATTATATTATTGTATAATGCGATGATTTAGTTATCACCATATGAAATTGTTCGTCTACCCATCTAGTTACCTTGCCTTGAATGTGTTTTCCGGTGCCTAGTTACTTGATCAGATCGTGAAAATTTTTTTTTGCATGTTACCTCAGGGCATTGGAATGGACGTTCACCAGTGTGCACTCGCATCTAATCACAGGATTAATTTAATTATCGAATTAATAACGTAATAATGATAATACAGTCGCTTCCGCAATAGTCACATGCAGAATTTAATAAAGATAACCAACAACGGGCGAAATTATATATATATAATCCCCGATCACTATTTCAAGATCATGGAGGGTTAATGAATAATATCCTGATCCGTATGTGAATAATTCCCAACGGATCAAGATATTATTATTATTACTAATAAAGTAGAAAATTAATGTGACTATATACCGTTGCCTATAACGGAAGTACGACTATAATAATAATAATAATAATAACGATAATAATTAAAGTTCATTACATGTTTTGTAAGATTTGATGACTCAGCAAACCGTTTCACACAGCCTTCCTGTTTGCACTTAAATGGTTTTTCACCTGCAATTAAAAAAAAAATAAATAAATAAATAAAATGTATCTTATGATGATAATATGTATTGTCTCAAAAAACAGTGCATTAATTACAAACCAGTATGAACTCGAAGGTGTATGGTTAGTGCACCAGATATAGAAAATTCACGACCACAATTTGGTTGTGGACATTTAAAGGGACGCTCTCCTGTATGTGTTCTCATATGTTGAGTCATTATATTAGCTTCCGAGAATCGTTTTTTACAGATTGTACACTGGTACGGCTTATCACCTATATATACATATATACACATATATATATATATAAAGTAACTATGAGATTCTAAAACCTTTGATTATATCATAAAATATCATACAGTGTTTACCAGTATGCGTTTGAATATGTCGCATAACCTTTTGACGTTGCGAGAATGGACGTCCATTCCGATCACATCTCTCCCAATAACAAACATACTGACTTCTACCGCATCCAATATGTCCTTCACTAACATGTCCAGTTAATTCTTCATAGGTTTCAAATCGTAGATAACATCCTTGCCATTTACATCCATGTTGAAAATCCTGCGCTGTCCATAAATATGAAGAATGTCTGAATTCATTAGCGGTATGAT